TCATCGGATGAACCACGATGTCGAGGATTCAATCAATCCATATACAATTCCCTTTGTCAATCGGTATGTTACTTGCCCGAGACTCGATCGTCGGTATCCCAATACCTCATTCAATCTCATTACCGGCAAGTCACTTTACTCGTACCGTAATGCATGATCCCGTGATCAACCACTTGGTCACATTGAGCTCATTATGATGATGCATTACTGAGTGGGCCCAGAGATACCTCTCCGTCATACGGAGTGACAAATCCCAGTCTCGATTCGTGCCAACCCAACAGACACTTTTGGAGATACCTGTACTGTACCTTTAGAGTCGCCCAGTTACGTTGTGACGTTTGGCACACCCAAAGCACTCCTACGGTATCCGGGAGTTGCACAATATCATGGTCTAAGGAAATGATACTTGACATTCGGAAAAGCTATAGCAAACGAACTACATGATCTTTGAGCTATGCTTAGGATTGGGTCTTGTCCATCACATCATTCTCCTAATGATGTGATCCCGTTATCAATGACATCCAATGTCCATAGTCAGGAAACCATGACTATCTTTTGATCAACGAGCTAGTCAACTAGAGGCTCACTAGGGACGTGTTGTGGTCTATGTATTCACACATGTATTACGATTTCCGGATAACACAATTATAGCATGAACAATAGACAATTATCATGAACAAAGAAATATAATAATAACCATTTTATTATTGCCTCTAGGGCATATTTCCAACAAGAACTTCCTTCTGGCTGGAGTGAGACTCCGCATTCATAGGTCCATGCCTCAATTTCTCTAATTCCCTTTTTAATCTATTAATTCTTTGTTTTGGTCCTTTTAGAATCTCACAGTCCCATGTGTGTAGGTCAGCCTGCACCGCTCATGTACGTGTAGCGAGAAAAGGACCAACGTCCGCTAATTTAGCCTTTTCCCATGCCGTGCGCACAATTTCCCCAACTGTCTCTTCTTTGAGCCATCTCACTTCAAATTGCTTCACACGGCCTTTTGGGCAATTGAAAATATTCCCATCAAAATATTTTGTGTCAAGGATCAAGGGGCGATGGTCTGAATGCATATATTCCTCATTGATAATGGTCGACCATTCCACATTACATACAACCCTATCAAGTATTTCCCTAATATCCCCTCTCCTCAAGGTGAAAATGTCGCTAATATACACCAAATCTTGTAAGCTACAGTCTCCCAAACAATTCCAAAACTCTTGCCTCATTGCATTTGGTTTTGGATTACCTCCATCCTTTTCATGAGAGTGCATAATTTCATTGAAATCTCCAATAACAACCCAAGTGTAAGAAGCACGAGCATGTAGATTGCGGAGGTTTGTCCAAGATAAGTGTGTTTCATTCCAAGCCAGATGACCATGGAATCCCGTAAATTGCCAATCCACATTATTCTCATTCATAAACATCACATCAATAAAATACAGAGATAGATAATTCAACTCAACTCTATTCTCTTTCTGATAATAGAATACAAGTCCACCGGCCTTACCATCACTCTCAGATAAAAACATTCAACTAAACCCTAACTTACACAACGTAGCTCGTCAACCTTTATTTTATTTAGGCAACTGAGATTAAAAAAACTAACTCTGGACACACCCATTCTTGGAGCTCCAGGAGCTCACGAACTGCCATGGGGGAGAGCAAACCACGGTAGTTCCAGCCTAGGATTTTCATTTGGCCTGGCGAACCTCCTCCTTGGAGGCCGCCATTGCGCCATTATCTCCCTTTTCTTCTCCAATCGACTCCCCTCACTACTACACATAATCCCCGTCCCTCTCCTCCATCTCCTTTGCTACATGTGTGATAGCACCATCAGCATCCTTCACTGCTTCCACTCTACCCGCACATACTCTCTTAGAAGAAATGCTGACATCACCGTATAGCATGCGCTCATAACTATCCATAGTTTTATCAAAAGAAAATTCTAAGTCGCTTTCCATCGGGCGAACATCGGATAGGTGTCTCCTTTTTTACCTAAAATTTTCCTGCGAGCATCCTCCAATCTCTCCATCATACCTTCCTTCTATATTTCCTCCCCTTCCTCTTTGGATGATTCTTGGTAGTACTGAATTTAAATAACACATTATTAACAATAGTGTCATCCGTGGCAACATGTCGTAAGCCTTGAAGCAACAACCCCCGATAAGGCCTCCAACACACTAGGCTGGAAAAGGAGTTGGTCGTGGATGTGTGGTGTGCATCCCCTGCTGCTGCCACTAGTGCAGGGCTGGGCTCACCCGGCTGTATGCTCCCCTGGCCCTCCATGTAGGCAGGGTACTGCTGATGTACAGCAGCAACAACAACAGTTTTGGAGCCGCTGGTGGGCCCCAGCTGCTGCCAAACAGGGGGCCCCTAGCCATGTCGGTGTACAACAACATCAACAACAGTTTTGGATCCACTAGGGTCACCTAGCTACTACCAAACAAGGCCCCCTGTCCATGCCGGTGTACAGCAACAATAGCAACAGTTTTGGAGCCACTGGGCACTCAGCTACCGAACAGGCCCTCCTGGCCATGCAGCTCACCCAACTGGGTGTACAACCGGACCGCTAGTCCTTAGCTTTGTTTGTTTTGTTCATTGTTCCTCGTACATAAAAAATGCATGTCCATGTTGGTTGCACGATTGGGTCCAAGCCCATTACAATTTGGCTTTATGTGGTATTCACAAATGGCTTCCAAATATATTTTCACAAAGCAAGAAGAGCTTGGCGGTGAAGATCCAGAGTATCTTTGCCGCACCTTCACCAAGGCAAGCCATACTACCATTGCTTGCTAACTTGTTGAAGATATAGTTCATATGTGCATTTTAGAGCATATTTGCATTTGTTTCATTAAATTATTATGGTTATATTTTTCTATTGTGCATGCATATGTTTCTGTCCTTCCATGATGAATACCTTGCTTAGACAATTGCATTGATGCATGATCATATCATTCATGTTAATAAAAATGTACCACATAAGTATTTGAGTAATAACATGAATATTAGTACTTTAAGATAGTTGTGCAGCTTTACTCATTTGAGTATGACTTGATTAAGCATATGTTTCACGAAGAACTTATTAACCAAATACTTCATTATCTTGGTCCAATCATGGTGCCACCGAGTCGAACTTTCCACATGCAACCACATTTGCCTGATCTGGGAAGGCCTTAACTTAGTATATGCACACACTCCTATTAGTGTCACAATAGTTGGAAGAATTAGAAGGGTGTGCAACACTGGCCCGGTAACCGGGTCTAATTCCGAGCTCCTAGGAACGACATGGTTCACACATTATAAATAAAATGATCCCAAGTGGAATATTTGGGACCACCTTAGTGGTAAAGCCTTTGGTAGGCCCTAAGGCCTAGAATTTGTTCTCCATGATATCACTTCTTGGGGGTATGTCAGTGACATGATAATGGTATTGTGTGATAGACGAATTCATTGGATAAGTCCATGGTGTGGGAAAGTGTAGAACTCCTGCAGAGTGTAAAACTATATTTGAACAGCCTGGTCTACGGTATTGGGCACATGTCATCCCAGGTTCATCTTGATGGCCAGTGTTGAAGGGCTCCAGGCTTTTGGACTGAGCTTGTCGACAAGAGCCTGTGCGGGGACCAGTGAAGACGAATGAATAGTAGACAAGTGGGGGCGATCTGCCGAGAAGTTGGGGTGGCTGCATGATCTATCGACGATGAGGGGTAGAATGTTGCATCTTTGGGATGTGTCAATTAATTGACAAAATGGGGAAAGTGTCGAGATGGTGACGAGACAACAGAATAGGTTGAATCTGAATCCAAACATGGAGCATTTTTTGCTGTTCAGAAAATCCAAACATTTTTCACTAATACGCAAGACTTTAGTATCATTTCAATGATGGATAGAAAGTGAAGGTCATATGGGAACATCTCACAATCATTGTACCCGTGAACGACATAACCTAGAGCATGAGAGTAGAGACCTGTGTTGCCCAACCCTGCGCAAGGATGGCACTAAGTGATTAACAATAACCCGTGGGCACCTGCGAGAGCCCAAGCCTTCGCTTCTTCCTAGATCGCCAACATGAGTTGCAGGGCGAGGGGGCGCGCATTGTCGAACGGACACATGTTCTGGAAGCACCAGATGGACCATGCCATGAGAATCACCAATGACGCTAGGCACTTTTAATGGCCGACAAGCGATGTGGAAGTAATGGAAGCCCGGTAGAGTAGAAAGTCCATATCTCCGATCAGTGCAGGAACGGTAGCACAACACACAAGATCATGCTAAACCTGTCGAAAGAAGGGACGGTGATGCGTGGTCTCCCGCTCCTGGCCGCGAAGGGCGCATGAGTCGGCGTGAGGCAACCCATGATGAGTCGATCTCATCGAAGTCCAGCACCAGTCAAGGTTCGTCGGCCACACAAAGAACTTGATCCAGAGTGACACCTTATGTTTTCCAGATCTGGCGCCCGTGCGGTGCCAAGGTGGAACCGAAGAACAGCGCGCCGTAGCAGGAGTTGACCGAATAGTTACCATCTTGCGTCATCGTCCGGACAGACGGTCCTGGGTGTGAGATAGCGTCATGCTACAACGTCAAAAAATCCAAACATCGAACTCGGTGGACTAGTTTTGCGCTTTTTAACCCCAAACATAATTTCCATATAACTGATTGTTTCACCTTTTTTTTTACAAAAATCACTAAATAAATTTGATAAAACCGGTCTGTCTAAAAATCAACTCATTTTTCTACAAATCCTCATTAGCTTCCAAACAACCACTAACATGACCCATTTATGCCACGATCTGTATCTGTCATGCCATCCCACGACAAGATCTTGTCCATGCGGCCCACTTCTGCGACGCACCTCCCCACAAGCGAAGCACGTGTGAGGTTCCTTATTGCGCAACAGGCAAAACTAAGCACACATGTGACATGTGCTGTGCTCAACACACAAGACGAACATGACTGAACAGCAACAATGCCATTTTCAAACCGCTCGGGAATTTGCATCGTCAGCAAAAAGGCCTCTTGCCACCGCCGGACGCCGTCGTGTTCCCCCGCCGTGACACCGGCGGGATGCTGAAATGCCAGAGCCGGCCGGCCCTTCCCACCCGGAACATGTCGCAGAGGAACTCCTCGGCGTACTTCTTCTCCACCTTGCGGTCCACGTCGTGCAGGAACACGTCGGTGTCCCCCTCGCCGCGCCTCGCCCGCGCCATTGCCGCCGCCGTCCAAATCGCCGCCATCCTGCCAGGTGCCGACGCGAAGTACCCCTTGGGCGCGTCCAGCATGAGCATGTCCCACTCGTTCTCGTACACCTCCGGCGGCAGGTTGTGCAGCGCCAGCGGGCACGCCGCGTTGTCGCGGACCTGCACGGGGGCGTCGGCGGCCTCGGCCCCGGCGCCCGGGACGCAGGAGGAGAAGTTCTTGTAGGAGTCGAAGAGGAGGTCGGCGTGCTCCATCCGCGTGCGGTAGGTGACCAGATGGGCGCGCAGGAACGGCGACTTAGCGCGCACGATGCGGTACCACTCCGGGTCCTCCTCCAGGAAGACCGTGACGCCGCCGGGGTTGAGCGCGTGCCAAAGCCGCGAGTCGTGGCCGAGGCCGAACACCAGCAGCCGGATCGGCGCGCGGCGGCGCAGCACGTCGAGAGAGAGGGAGATCTCGGCGCGCGACTGCTGCGGGACGGTGCGCGTGCTGGCGTAGTACACGGCGGCGTCGGCGAGCGCGGCGAGGCCTGAAGGCTCGTACCCGACGCCCGAGGGGGCTAGGACGCCGGGCAGGCACGGGAGCAACGGCAGCAGCGGCAGCGGCGAGGTGAGGAGGGTGGCGACCAGCAGCGACGTGGCGACGAGCAATGCCGCTGCAGCGGCAGTGGCGAGGCGGCCGGGGGGCTTCATTGCGTGGCTCGCCGGCGCGCAGTGCGTGTGTGCTGTGTGAGGTGGGGATTGGACAATACTCCATATTTAGCGCGAGCAGCGGAGCACGACGTGGCATCCCCTTCGCTGCACGATACCGCACCTTGCTTTCTTTTTCCGTCCCAATGTCGTAGTACTACCCCGCCGACGAGGCAACGACTTTATCGCAATTTTCTTTCTTTTAGCATTAGGGAATCTCTACCTACATTGATGCATATGGCCAAGTGGCCCATCAGTGGGTTTATTTGATACTCCCTCCGTTCCGAATTACTTTACACATGTATGGATGTATCTAGATGTATTTTAGTTCTAGATACATCTATTTCTTCAACGAGTAATTTGGAACGGAGAGAGTTCTTTTTTAGATGGAATTCGTTGCTTGTTTATTCGGAGTCTCAAAATATAATAATCCAAATGATAAGTACCTCACATCAGGTACCCGGGCTGGACGCCCGAACGTCCTTGTAGTCGTCTAATCAGCAGCACAAATCTCTGCGCGCATCATCTTACAAGGTCAACAGCGAAAACTTTTGAGCTGAATTGCTTTCACCGTTCACTGCGGGATCCAGAGGAGAGATGAATGGCGGCAGCGGCAACGGCGAAGAAGAGCCGCGGCAAAGGAGGAGTGCGCGCGGTGGGGAGGAGCACATGCGGTGGGGAGGAGCCGTGGCAGGGAGTGGAATGGTGGCGGGGTGGCGGGGAGGAGCTGCGGCGGCTCGCCGGGGAACGCGGCAAGGAGAATCCCTCGACGCTCGACGTATGCAAGGGGCGGGTGGAGGTGGCGCGGTGGAGCATGGCGCCACCAGTCTCCATAGCGCCGGTGGTGGTGGTGGACGCTGGTGCGGGCCTGCTGCCGTGCCGACCCTTGCCGCGGGGTAAGGATGTTGAGCGACGATGGTGGTAGCCGTCGACGCGGGCCTGCTGCCCTTGGCGACCCTCGTCGCCTTCCTCTGCTCGGAGCTAACCATGGTTGTTTCCTAGCGCGCCTCCGCCCAATTCCTGACCCCTCAACCGCTTCATGGGGAACGAAGCATGAAAAACCAAAAAAATCCTACGAAACACCCAAGATCCAATCTAGGAGATGTATAGCAACGACGGGGGACTGTGTCTACATACCTTTGTAGACCGAAAGCGCTAGCGTCGTGACGTGGTTGATGTATTCGTACTCGTCGCCATCCAATCCGATCTAGTGCCGAACGGACGACACCTCCGAGTTTAGCACACATATGGCTCGGCGGCGTCCTCTCCTTCTTGAGCCAGCAAGCGAGGAAGAGGAGGTAGATGAGATCTGAACCAACACGACGGCGTGGTGGTGGTGGTAGTGGAATTCCGGTAGGGCTTCGCCAAGCACTGACGGAACCTGGAAGAGGAGTAACGGGAGGGAGACGGGGCAAGCGTAGAAGGGTTGGATGCCCCCTACGCCTCGCCATCATATATAGGGTTGAGGGAGGGGCGTGGCTACCCTAGCCCCCTTCCCAAGGCAGGGGGCAGCGGCCAGGGGGGGAGTGCCCTCCAAGCCAAGTGGAGGCCCTCCCCCTTAGAGTTTCCCCTCCCCAAGCGCATGGACCTTGTAGGGGCTGGTGCCTCTGGCCTATTAAGGCTAGGGTGCCCCTATATCCCATGTTACTATATGGGACGTCGTGGAATCCTCCGAGGACTTATGGACCCCTCCGGAACCCTCTGGAACCTTCCGGTGGCTTCCCGACACAACACTGAAAAAACCGATCTTTTTCCTGGAACGCCGACAACAACTTTCTATATATAAATATTTATCCCCGGACCATTTAGGAACTCCTCATGATGTCCCGGATCCCATCTAGGGCTCCGAACAATCTTCCGACTTTCCACTATTAATATCTCAATACTACCCTAGCACTACCAAACGTTAAGTGTTCGACCCTACGAGTTCGAGAATCATGCAGGCATGATTGAGACTCCTCTCCGATCAATAACCAATAGCGGGACCTGGATGCCCATATTGATTCCTACATATTCAACAAAGATCTTTATCGGTTGAACCACGATGTCAAGGATCCAGTCAATCCCGTATGCAATTCCCTTTGTCCAGCGATAAGTTACTTGCCCGAGATTTGATCGTTGGTATCTCCATACCTAGTTTAATCTCGTCACCGACAAGTCTCTTTACTCGTTCCTTAATACAAGATCATGTGACTAAACTCATTAGTCACATGAAGCTTCTTTTGATGTTGTATTACCGAGAGGGCCTAGAGTTATCTCTCCGTCACATGAAGTGACAAATCCTAGTCTCGATCCATGCAACCCAATAGACACCTTCGAAGATACTTGTAGAGCACCTTTATGATCACCTAGTTACGAAGTGACGTTTTATAGCGCACAAGGAATTCCTCCAGTATCCGGGAGTAGCATGATCTCATGGTCGAAGGAACACATACTTGACATGAAGAAAGTTGTAGCAAATAACTAAACAATCTGATTAAGCTTACGGTTGGGTCTGTCCATCACATCATTCTCCTAATGATGTGATACCATTATCAAATGACAACTCATGTCTATGATTGGGAAACCTTAACCATCTTTTATCAACGAGCTAGTCTAGTATAGGCTTACTAGGGACACAGTGTAGTTTATGTATTCACACATGTATTTAAGTTTTCGGTCAATACAATTCTAGCATTAATAATAAACATTTATCATGACTGGAAAATATGATAATAACCATTTTATTATTGCCTCTAGGGCATATTTCCAATAGTCTCCCACTTGCACCGGTGTCAATAATCTACTTCACATCGCCATGTGATTACACCAATGAGTTATGGGTTTGATCATGTTTTGCTTCTGAGAGAGGTTTTAATCAACGGGTCTGCTACATTTAGATTTGTGTGTACTTTGCAAGTCTCTATGTCATACAGATGTTGCTACCACGCTCCACTTGGAGCTATTCGAAAAGGCTGCTCCACTATACGTGTCCGTTTTCAACTCATAGTTATTCGGATCGGTGTCAAAGATTGCATTGACGTAACCCTTTACGACGAACTCTTTATCACCTCCATAAACGAGAAACATTTCCTTAGTACTCTTTAGGTAGTTAAGGATAATTTTGACCCCTGTCCAATGATCTACTCCTGGATCACTCTAGTACCCCCTTGCCAGACTCATGGCAAGGTGCTGAAAAGATCTGGTACACAACATGGCACACACCATAGAGCCTATGGCTAAGGCATAGGGGACGACCTTCATCCTTCTTCTTCTTCTGCCTTGGTCAAGCTTTGAGTCTTACTCAACCTCACACCTTACAACTCAGGCAAGAACTCCTTCTCTGACAGATCCATTTTGAACTCCTTCAAAATATTGTCTAGGTATGCTCTTTGTGAAAGTCTTATCACGTGTCTTGATCTATCTCTATAGATCTTGAAGCCCAATATGTAAGCAACTTTACCAAGGTATTCCTTTGAAAAACTACTTACAAATAACCCTTTATGCTTTCTAGAAATTCTACATCATTTCCAATGAACAATATGTCATCCACATATACTTATCAGAAAAGCTATAGAACTCCCACTCACTTTCTTGTAAATACAAGCTTCTCCGTAAGTTTGTATAAAATCAAAAACTTTGATCACCTCATCAAAGCGTTTATTCCAACTCCGAGATGCTTGCACCAGTCGATAGATGGATCCCTGGAGCTTGCCTACCTTTTAGCATCCATAGGATCCACAAAACCTTTGGCTGCATCATATACAACTCTTCCTCAAGGAAACCGGTTTCCACATCCATCTGCCAGATTTCCTAATCATAAAATGCGACAATTTCTAACATAATTCTAAGAGACTTAAGCATCACTACGGGTGAGAAAGCCTTATCGTAGTCAACTCCTTGAATTTGTCAAAAACCTTTTGGGACAAGTCAAGCTTTATAGACAGCGACATTACCATCAATGTATGTCTTCTTATTAAAGATCCATTTATTCTTAATGGCCTTGTCGATCATTGGGCAAGTCCACCAAAGTCCATACTTTGTTCTCATACATGCATCCTATCTCGGATTTCATAGCCTTAAGCCATTTGTCGGAATCCGGGCTCATCATTGCTTCTTCATAGTTTGTAGGTTCGTCGTTATCTAATAACATGACTTCCGAGACGGTATTACCGTACCACTCTGGTGTGGAACGTGTCATGGTTGACCTATGAAGTTCAGTAGTAACTTGATCCAAAGTTTCATGATTATCATCATTATATTCCTCTCTTGCTAGTGTAGCATCATTGGAACTACTTTCTGTGATGTGCTACTTTCCAATTCAGGAGAAGGTACAATTACCTCATCAAGTTCTACTTTCCTCCCACTCATTTCTTTCAAGATAAACTCCTTCTCTACAAAGGACCCATTCTTGGCAACAAAGATCTTGCCGTTGGATCAGCGATAGAAGGTATAGCCAATGGTCTCTTTAGGGTATCCTATGAAGATGCACTTCTGAAAGGACATGCGGTGCCCCCATGTTTGGTTTTGATAATTGATGACAATCTCTATGGAGTACTGGTTGCCTTGAGTTATATTCGTAGGTTTTGTTCATAGTCTTTTCTTGAAGTCCATTTGTTGGTTTCAAGGAGTTTATGTGTTGGCCAAGGTGCTTTTCAAGGAATTATCCAAAGATTGGTCATGTCGGAGTTGAGCTTATTGCAAGCATGTCTTTAAGAAGATTGTGTGATCATTCATGTTAACCTTCAAGACATCATCCAAATGAAGAGAGTTGGAAAGATTCAAGTTTGATCAAGACTAAGTACAAAGATTGATTAAAGTTGATCAACACACAAAGCGTAGAAGATGTACTGAGTGGGATCATGTGATCCCACGGTATGGTAAGTTTTGTCCATTACGCTTTGTGTACTAACCCACGGTCTACGTGAGAGTTCTATGTGGGGTTAGGTATGTTTCCATGGGTTTGCGTCAATAGGAAGATTCCATACAACCCATGGAGGGTGACATCAAGTGGTGATCATCATCAAGATTGTCGTGTGCAAGTTCAAGTGGAGCATCACGAAGATATCATCCTTGAAGCTTGCCATTCTAGAAGGGAAGGGCCTACGATTGGACAACTCACTCTTGATGTAGGGCGCATTCTGGTCAATACGTAATTTGGACACATCCCCCACTTTGATATGTTGCAAGCACATCTTAATGTTTGTCTTTTGGAGCACAAATTAAGATCATGATGATCCCGATCACAAACATATGGTTGTAAGAATCAAGTCCTCATACCCATGGCTCTTTTATTATAATTGTGTTCTATTGCAACTTGATTGCTATCTGGTCTAAAAACTGGAATTTAATTCTCTCACAAAGCTTGGTAGAAACCCTTGTCACAAGTGCACACCCTCTCTTGGGTTTGATAACTCAAAGTCACTCCTTGCGGAAAAGAGGTTGGGAATCTTTCTGCTACCCACTACCGGATAACCAAAGGAACTAATTGTTGGGAAACGTAGCATGCAATTTCAAAAAAATTCCTACGCTCACGCAAGATCTATCTAGGAGATGCATAGCAACGAGAGGGAGAGAGTGTGTCCACATACCCTCGTAGACCGAAAGCGGAAGCGTTTGACAGCGCGGTTGATGTAGTCGAACTTCTTCTTGTTCTGACCGATCAAGCACCGAACATACGACACCTCCGAGTTCTGCACACGTTCAGATCGATGACGTCCCTCAAACTCTTGATCCAGAAAAATGTCGAGCGAGAGTTCCATCAGCACAACAGCGTGGTGATGGTGATGGTGAAGTGATTCGCACAGGGCTTCGCCTAAGCACTGCGTGAATATGACCGGAGGCGTAAACTATGGAGGGGGGCGCCGCACATGGCTAGGAATTAATGTTGTATGTTCTAGTGGTGCCCTCCCCTCATATATATAGGTTGGATGGGAGGATAGGCAGCCAAGGGGGCACCCCAAGTAGGAGGAATCTTACTTGGGCGCCTCCCAATTCGGCCTCCCCCTTCCATATTCATCCGGAGGGGGAAGGAGGGAGGAGAGAAGGAAGGGGGAGCCCGAATCCCTCCCCTTCCTTTCTCTCTTCCCCTCTTTCCTTCCTCCTTATTTTGGCCTACATGGGGTGCACCAGCCCCCTAGGGGCTGTTTTGTCCCCTTCTTGGCCCATTAGGCCCATGTAGTTGCCGGGGGAATGCCCGAAACCCCTTCTGTGACCCGATATGTACCCAGTACCCCCGGAACACTTCCGGTGTCCGAATATTATCGTCCTATATATGAATCTTTACCTCTCGACCATTTCGAGACTCCTCGTCATGTTCTTGATCTTATCCGAGACTCCAAACAATATTCGGTCACCAAATCACATAACTCATATAATACAAAATCATCATTGAATGTTAAGCGTGCGGACCCTACGGGTTCGAGAACTATGTAGACATGACCGAGACACCTCTCTGGTCAATAACCAACAG